ACTGGCAGTCCAGCAGGAATCTCTCTCCCTCTCCTTTGTTTGTCTTTCACAATAACCGAGTCGAAGAGGCTCAGATTGGTATCCACTATGTAACCTCTAAGCGTGGAACAGATCCACGCTTCTCTCGTCAGACACCTGCTTCACATGCAAACTTTGTTTATTTTCCCCGTCACTGATTCAGACCCTACAACCCCTTCATTCTTCACCCGGACCGTCAGCAGCAACTTCTGTGGCCACGTGGTTCTCACAGAAGGAGTGACGTTTGCATTCATCACCCATCGCAGTGCACTTTTTGATGCCAGTGAGTGCCTGGGATGGAGATCTTGATCTTCATCTCCATGTTCCTGGTCCCCTATAGCCCTCAGGAGAAAGGCTCAATTTATTTTAAACACCTGTCCTCCCCTTTTTTAACAGACCACGTGCGAGACTGCTTTCATGGCCAGAGTGTGAGTGACTATGGTCGACAACAGTTTAGTGTATGTTTCACAGTCAGACCATAGACAGAGAAGTCCTGCCCATCCATGTGTTATAGTTCTCATCTTCTTAAGATCCATCTCTCCAGCAGTGGTAGCGCATGCCTGTAATACCAGCAATCGGAAGGCGGATCTCTGTGAGTGCAAGGCCAGGCTGGGCTACAAAGACACAGGGAGATCCAGGTCTAGCCTCTGAGTGCTGCTGTCCTTGGGCTGCAACCTCTCCAGCTTCTCCCAACATTCAGCGTCCCCGTGAACATGTGGACTGCACACACTCAGAATATTGCTGTACTTGGTTGATCTGATGCACTCCCTGTCTGAAATCTAGAAGCCCATCTTCCTCTTCTCTCCACCTTTTAGATCAGTCCAAGCTGTGTGTCCTAAGCCCCTTGCATTTGGAGAATGTGGGGCAAACAGAGTAGAACATAAACCTTGAAAGGTGCATGGTTAGTAGTCATGAGGGGCAGGATGCAGAGTTGTATCCAGACGGTGGTATTTTGGGTCCTTCGAAGAGTCCAGAGCAGCCGCTTTGTCTGGGGTAGGTTGGGATGTTAGTGATGGGCACTACTACGCTCTGAAAGAAAGAATCTTCTCTCCCTTCTTTGCATCTGCTTCTGCTGGGGTGCTCTGGCCCATCCTCCCTAGGGCCGCCATCCCTCCGCCGCCCCAAGGTGGTGGGCTCCACCCGACATCAACCCACACCCTCTGTACCCCTGAAAACAGTTCTCTGCAGGCACTCCATGCCCCGTTTCCCTTCTTTCTCTGAGAATTCCTTTTTAAAAGTTTGTATCTATTATAGGAATTAGAGGCCATTTTTAAAAATTCCTTCTTATGCTCACTTCAGCAGCACATATACTAAAAATTCCTTCTTGAAAGTAGCAACTCTATTTCAATTCTAGGAACTTTCTTCTCCAGTTTTTGTGCTACTTTCCTTAGCATTGCTTGATAGGAGGTTTGTTCTTCCTTGGCCAGGAGCTCACTATAGGGCCATGAGGAACCTGTGGCAGACGGGCCTTGGCAGAGGAATCAGGGGCTGAAGCCACCTATGCCAACCCGATGCCCCTCAGAGGTGCAGGCTTTGAGGAGAGCTGGTAAGTCAGGTGCACATAGAGGAAGGGAAAGGACCCAGGAAGAGGAAGCTCTGCCAGGTCAGCGGTCACCAGCCTTTGAGCTGAACATCTCTCTTGAGGGATCTCTGTTCATGCTAACTAGAAACTTGATTTTCTACAGATCTGTCTGTCTGTAGATCAATGGTATATAATAGTGCACTTGATACAAAATTAACTGGACCACTGCTTCACACCACACACACACACAAATTAAAGGTAGGAAGCGGGTGAGTTAAAGGTCTAAGTAGGAAGGGTCCAAATGTGACTCTCTTAACAGACCATGTGCAAGACTGCTCTCATGGCCAGAGTGTGAGTGAACACAGTTGACAGCAGTTCACTGTGTGTTTCACAGTCGCTACTCGAGGGCACTTTGAATGTTCACAACACAAAGAAATACCAAATATTTGAGTTGTTAGGTGTGTTAGTTACCCTGATCTTGCACTGTATACATGTCTCAAAATGTCACACTGTGCCTGATAAATATGTACAATTGCTATGTGTCAATTAGAAATAAAACCTACAGCTAAAGAAAAAGAAGTGCAAAGGGCTGATAACCACAGAACCCCACACAGGAGTTTCTTCTGACCGGGGGATGAAGCAACAGGAGGAAGGAGAGCGTCTCGGGGATTTTGTTATACGTTTTGCATCCTTCATCTTAAACCAAGCTGTTTATAGCACACATTTTTATTATATATTTGTTGTTACATAGATTTTATAATGTTATTTTTTATTTTATCTTCAATTTAAGGACAATTAAAAACTTTCTGTGGTGTAACCAGAATTTTCCCAGAAATACCCTACGGTCTTTAATTCCTGATAACTATCTCAGAAATACCTCCTGATCAACCAGAAAGATAGGAGCAAAACAAGCCAGGGGGCGTTCGCTTGCATTTTTTTCACATTTTAATGGGAAACAGCAAGGGAGCAGTGCACTGCTGATTCTCTCAAAGAAGCAATGTCCGACTAAATAGTATAGGACTAAAAATAAATCCCAGCTTTGATGACGCCCAGATAACACTGGATTAGCAGAAAGACAAAACTGCCGGGCCTGGGGAGGCTGAGCCTCCAGTGAAAGCAAGAAGCTCTTGCACATAATCTTGAAAGGAATTTCTGAGCCCTTGCTTACCGAGTAAAGTGAAAAACAAAGTTGGTAAAAAGTCTGTGTCATCAGCAAGCCCCATCATTTTCCTTTTCTTCAGAGTTATAACAATTATGAGGGAGGTTGTTTGGGGGATCTTGTTAGTGGTGATCTTTTTTGGGGTTTTTTTTTCTTGTCTTTCAGTTTTTACTTGTTTCTGTGGTACTGGGAATTGAACCCAGGGCCTCTTGCTTACCAGGCAAGCTCCATCACTGAGCTACATCTTCAGCCCTTTTACATTTTAGTTTGATATAGGGTCTTGGTAAGTCGCTGTTATGGCTTGTATCTAAATGTCCCTTGCTTAGTCACTTTTCTAGTTGAAAAGTCTATTTTCTAGTCAAAATACTCAACACCCAAAGTTAAAGAGGGAAAGGTTCACTTAGCTCACAGTTTGCAGAGGTTTCAGTTCATAAACAGCTGTCTCCAAGGTAGGGTGGTTTGGCAGAGAGGGATCACAAAGGAGAACCAGTTCATGGTAGGCAGAAGACAGCAAAAGCAAGCAAGCAAGGGACAACTACAGAACTTTCCGGCCCTTATTCCTTATCTACGCTACTTAGGGCAGGTAGCACTCACACCCTAATCCTAGTGCCCTTGAGCCTGGCATTGCACCATGAATCAATCCCAGTGTCACACAATATAGATCCAGACACCTCTGAAAAAGCCCCACCTTTGATCACATGAGGCTTTGGGGGCATCTAAACACAAGCCATAACATCCCCCCAAAGCCTCATGTGACCATAAGTGAAGCTTTTTCAGAGGGGCTGGATCTAGGGTGTGTGCTGCTGGGATCAAGGATGTCATGCTGGGATTGATTCATTGTGTGAAGCTAGGATTAAGGCTGCCTGCCCTAATGGTAGATCACCTGGGTAAGATACAAGGGACAGGAAGAGCGTTGTCATTTTCTGCTTGTCACCTGCTGCTTGCTGCCTTCTGCCTTCCACCAGCCTTGAAATGTTTGCAGTAGTTGTGACAAAAGGGACGAAGATGTCCCAGAAGAAGTGGCACCAGCCAAAAAGAGCTTTATATTCTAAGATATTTCAAAACATAGAAACAAAGAATAAAATGCAGGAAGTGGCCCAAACAGAAAGATGTCTGTATAGCCACATGCTAGGGTTTAGAAAAGATATTCACCCCATACTGTAAGTTATGCAATGAGAAGGAGGCAAACAATGGTGCAGACCACTCCTGGAAAGTTTATCTGGTTTTTAGTTTGTTGTGTTTAGTTATAATGAATGAAAACACTAATTTTCAAAGTTTCTTATGATTCAAATTATACTAAATAAATATTAGTTTTACTACTTTTTATTTTCCTATGCATGTATAACATACAGTCAGAGAGTTTTTAATATTTCCACAATATTTTTAAAGGTCCCAGAGCAACGCCCTGGTTACTGAGCTCACTCTGCAGGGACATTGTAATGGCCCTGCAGTATAACAAGGGTGAGGATGGCCTATGCTGTGTCACAGTAACACAACTTGTCCTGCTACCATTTCAATATGTCCCCCAAGACCCCTCAGTGAAAGGCTTGGTCCCAAGTGGCACTCTCAGGGGTGGAGCTTTTGGTAGGTGGGGAGGAGCTTAGGGCCTGGGTGGGGAACATGCCCTTGAACATGGGGATGGGGAAACTCAGGTTCCTTCCTCCTTTGCTTCCAAGACATCACGGAGTGACCATCTTCCTCCACTGTACCCCTCTGCCATCTTGTTCTTGCCCTGGAGCCAGCAACCTTGAGCTGAAAACATGAGCCCAAAAAGAGCTCTCCTCCTTCTTAACTTGATTTTTCATAGTCACGGAAACCTGACTGACGCACGTATCAACACTCGCATGTTGACCATAAGTGGAAAAGTGAAAATGATTGATGTGAGCATACACGCTTTGCACAGGTGTGAATCCCCGGGTACGGGGCTCAGGAGCCACTGCCCGCAGGCTGTCTCCATAGCACCAGACTGGGCTCAAACACAGACAGAGACACAGGCCTCGTGCAGTGTCCAGTAGGACCTGCCCCTTTGATAAGGCCTCTTCCTTGTTTGTGCTAGTTAGGCCGGCTGGGTAATGGTGAAGACAACGTTTCAGTCAGGCTCTAGGAATGGGGTTCTTCTAACAAAGCTGAACATGGAGAGGAGAGAGACAGAATCACATGTGGAGGGGTTCTCTAAGAAAACAGAAGCAGTCACTGTGAAGAAATCCCGGTGACTGAAACTGCAGGCTGGGGAGGGCCCACGGCGGCAGCAGGACTGTGGCCCCTCAGCACCCTCCAAATTACCCCCTGCTTTGACCTCACCTGAGCCTCCAGGTGGTTTTTCACCTCACACGCTGTCTTCAGATTCAGGGTCCAGCTCCTGTCTGCGAGTCCGCGGCTGCTCTTGCTGCTCCAGTTCAGCATCTTCTCCTGACAGCATCCGAGCCCCTCTTTCCACATTTCTCTGTCCACATTCAAAGAGGGAGGATCAAACTGGCCTTGCCAATTCCCCGTCTGTGTTGATGCAGAGCCTTCCACCGTCAGATGCTCTAAGACACAGACAGGTGTAAGGTTTGGCAAGAGAGAGAGGGAACAAAGGTAAAGAAAGCCTGTATTGTTGGGCAGGAAGGGCTGCTAAAGAGATACAAGGAGCCTCTGGGGAAGAGGCAGAGAGACAGAGGATATATTGGGCTGGGCTGGGGGTGGAGTTTGCATGGGTGGTCAGAGTGACGTAACAAGCACTGATTGGAGGAGTGTCGAGTAACACGCTAAAGAAACAGGAAGTCAGGAGGAGGGAGTTAGCTTTTGAGTGACACGCTGTGGTTTTGGGCCCCGCGCCATGTTGGTTCACTGCCATGATGACCTGGCGTGTTTTTCCACATGGGCAGAAACCTATCAATCGGGAAGGAAGAGCAGGAGTATGGGGGTAGAGAGCCTCGGAGAGAGCCGTGGGTGACAACCAGAGACTGCATCCCTTGGGGCATCACACGGTGAAGCTCACAGCACCTCAGCGGGACCCAAGTCCTCCAGAAAGAAAAGCTGTCTCTGTGGTAGCAGCGGGGTACACACCTTCCCTGCAGAGACCAAATGAAGAACTGAAAATATATTTTGAAACTAAATTAAAACTACCAATGGTATTGCAGTTGTTAGCGATTCCCTTATTGATAACAGCATATCTTCTGCTCCTTGTCACGTTTCTCTGATTCATTATTGTACAGATGAGGAGGTTGGGCACGCTCTAGCACCTTTCCCCACCCACGCAAGATGGCCCAGCGATTGTGCTTAAATAGCCTTTCAGTAGCAAGAGTCACCACAGAGAAGTCTTATTCGTCCTTAGAAGCCAAGATAAGTATCAATACTATAAATATTATGAAAATATTATTTTTTCCATTATCTCTTTTTAGAAAATTCCGGTAGGTACTCTATTTGCAGCTAAATAGACTATCTCTGAGTTTTTCTACACTGGTCATCCTCTGCTAAATTTACTAGAGAAAGACAGCAGAAGAGCATCTGAGAACAAATTCTGTAGCGAATAAACCCATAAAAAGTAAACCCATTTTTTCTTTTGGGAGGCAAGAAAAAATGGTAGCTGAAAGTCCAACTTTACAGTCTTGTTATCTCCTTCTCACTTTTCCAGAAAAGTCACCATTTATGTAAAAATAAAGAGTAAGGTAGAATAGATATGGCACTATTTAATAATACTCTAATATATGAAATAATTATAATTTGTGTCTGTGTATTATGCTACTTGAATTTCTCTGCATGATCTTTACAACCCAGGAAATACATACTGTTTCTATCTGTGCTTCAAAGATGAAGGAACTGCCGCTGGTGTAGGTATGTAATTTATTGGAGATCACATGGGCAACAGTATACCAAGCGACAGGCTGGTTATCCACAAGGCTGTGCTGTCCTAGAAAGGGCCAGAGAGGGCTGCATCCATCAGAAGGCAATCCTGGCCCCGCAAACAGCAGGCGGGAATCAGACTGATGCTCCTCCAAACCTGGGTCCTCTGATGCCTAATCTAGTTCCACTTCTGTACAGTGCAGCTACCTCAACTATGAAATGGAATGAAGAATTGGGCTTCTCTCTGGCCTAGCAATTTCAAAATATAAGGTGTTACAAATGCCCATGTCATTTCCTGACTTCCCTAGTTTGAATCAATCTGCTTAGGAGTACTTTAATGTATATCTAATAGTTTAATTCTTTATGAAAGAAGGTTTGTAGTGAGTTAATTAAAAAGGTTATTATGTCTTAAAATAGTCAGCAGGTTTTAATCAGCTGCAGACCACAGAGAAGCATTTCTTTATAATGATGTTTTTGCTTTGTTCTTCAGTAGCAGAGTATTTGTATAACTAACATTATTGCCAACTTAATGGCTACAGAAAACTAAGAGAATGATTTTTGCAAATACCAAAATTACAATTCACAGATCAAAACAAGAATAAGAGCATGATATCTTGGATTTTTAAATACTTACAATCAATAACAAGGCCCATGACATCTCTAGAAGTAAAAATAAAATTCGCTTCACTTGTAGGTAAATTGTAACTAAAAAGGAGATTAAAATTATTTTTTCCCAAGAAACAAAAAAGTAACTTTGAAGAAGGCTCAGATGTATGGCTTTGGTAAGCGTGGCAAGTGAATTTACTTCTTTTATAAAACTGCAGCAATTAAAATTACAAATCTCAAGAGATTAAAGATTCTCTGAGGGCCATAGAGATAGCTCAGTGGCACAGCGCCTGCCTGGAAAATGCAATGTCTTGAGTTCAATTCCTGGTACCAAAAAAAAAAAGTTTCTCTGAATCTTTGCTGAAGGTAATGAAATAGCTAAACAAATGAAGAGATGTGCCCTCTTTTGGGGTGAGAAGATTCAATTTTGCTAAGATGCTTATTCTTCCCAAATCAATCTATTGGCCCATTGCACTACCAAACAAAAGCCAGCAGGTTTCTTCTAGAAGTTGGCAACTTGATTTTAAAATTCACATGGAAATGCAGAGGGCTTAGAATTGCCAAAGTACATGGAAAAAGAATCAAATTAAAGAACTAAGACAATCTGATTTCAAGATAACTGCAGTAGTCAACAGAATATTTTACTTATGTAGAAAGTTATACCCAAGAGACAGAATAAAAAGTCCAGATACAGACCTACACTTGCATGGACAACCAATTTTAACCAAGGTGCAGGGGCATTAGTCTACCA